TAGCAGACCTTGGCCGCCGTGAGGGCGGGTGGGAACGCGACGAAGACGCATCTGCTGTGGTTCCCGCCTTATCGGTCGCAATATCACTTGGTGCATTGGCCAGCCAGGGCCAAGTTCAGGCCACCTGATGTTTTTTACGATACTGCTCTACCGCCGGTGCAGTACCTGGACGAACATCTCAGACACAGTTGATCTGTTGTGTTTGGCAGTGAGTATATCGTCTTTTGTCGGCAATCCACAGGAAAGGCAGATTTGCGGAGCGTACCGCACGAACGACCGATCAATTGCATCAGCATGACTGTTATCTTCTTTGTGATTGGCCCATGTGCCACATTTGCGCAGAAGATGAATTTAGGCAAAGACCAGACGCCTAGCTAATCTGATGGTCACTACCATCCTAACATTTTGCGTTGGAGCCAACGTAAAAGTGTTATGAGTCGCCCTAACCGACTCTCTCCCACGCCTCACTACCGATCCGCTCACATGCGATGCAAACGCAAGCTGCCGCTAACATGAGGACTCTAACCCACCAGCCGGATGAGTCGGAAAGCGAGTTGAGCTGCTACCCACTTCAGGACACTGTCTGATTGGTCAGCGTGAACTCCGCTCTTGTACATACTCGTACATAACTTGCTTGCCCTGATACAGTGCGCTCTTAGCATACAATACTATCCTATTCTGCCTTCTACAAGGGGGCATCGATGCCCCGCCTAGTCACAGTGCTGCTTTTACCAGCAACTTGGAACCAATTCGCTACCAGCGCCACTACTCACGCTTCGCTTATGCTGCTACCTGCCCTGACGTGTTTTGTGACGATCTGCAGGAGGTTGTGCGCATGTGCGCGCGCGCATGAAACCGGGCAAACCAATTATTCTCGGCGATATCAAGCTGTGTGTGTGTGAGTCGGCGCACGCCAGGCTACCTTGAAGAGAGAGAGAGAGCGCTTCATTGTCATGGAGTTGGAAGTGGCAACTGCCTGTTAATGCCGCAAAACATGCCCAGAACAAGCGTTGCTCATGGCTAACACTGCATATCGATGACAAGATCATTTGGTGCATAGAGGATAGACATCATGCATCCTCATCATCACGACAGTTAGCTGCTAAACTACGTGCCCGTCAGATCGTCGTGACAAGCCTGTGACAAGGGCAGTACCTGGGGCTATAATTGTCTCACTGATCAGCTAAGGCTGTAGATCCAATCATAAATACGACCTTCAGAAGGGTCGACACCTAAGAAACTGAATACAGCAGTAATGAGCCACACAGAAGGCAGGCAAATCCTCACTAATAGAATGGAGGCCAGCTTAGGCGACTTGAAGATCCTAGGGAATAAAGACACCGATAACTATATTGAAACTGAAAGAGACCATGTTTACCACGAAAACGGAAATTACCCAACCGGCATACAGACCGGCATGCTAAGGTCGATTTAACGAAGATAAAAAAGGCCTAGGACTTGTTTTTTAAACAGAACCACTGTTATAATGTCTCTTCCTGCATCAGAAACCCTCGGAGATACAGACCAGATGACTAATTTGCAATATCTGGGAGGTCCAGGGGCACGTCATTGTGGAGCTTTCGAACCAGTCTGTAGACCTCAACATAGTGGTAGTGCGCTGCTGTCAAGCTAAGACGACACAAACCTGTCCTTAGATATTCACAAGGTTTTGAACGTTGGAACGTCGTTAATAGTCAACCTGTAGCCCTAGAGCCTACTTGATTCTGGGGAACTTTCGTCACGGTGGTCCTCAATCCTTCGAAAGCGCCTATGGATCCAACGTGACATCTCCATCGCCAGGAAGATTCGTGTATGCTGTGCATCCTTCCGGTCAGTCCTCTATGGATGTGAATGCTGGGCTGTGCGCGCTGAAGATGAACGAAAACCGGAGGTCTTTGATCACCGATGCCTGAGGACGATCCTGCGAGTTAAGTATAGCGACTTCATCTCGAATGAAACAGTCTGCATCCGCTGCGATCGTATCGCAAGGATATCGCAGGCCATTCAAGAAAGGCGATTGAGGTGGTTTGGGCACGTTCCCCCTCGTCCGCCCCACGAGCTTTGCTATGCTGCCCTCGACCCACCGCCGCAGCCC